CAAAAGTAAGCTGCGCATGGCTTCCCTCGACAAAAAAGCAATGAGATTTCTCCATAGGATTTTAGAAAATAGCTCGAAATAAGATCTGTGGGAAACGTACCTGTTAGATAAATGCACGTTTTGTTCAGCCGGATAATATCCACATGTCTACCCTACTTTTATAATTTTTTAATCATAAATCTATCGATTAGATTTATGATAGACTTTTGAAACTACAAGAAGATAAGGAGGACTTTTACAAAAAAGTAATAGACATTTTTGTCCAGAAGGATAGACAAATGGACTTCATCTTCAAGTCAAGGTAAGACCGCAATTGTATTGAAACTGGGATCTTACTAAGAGAGAACAATTCAATATTTAAATGATAAAATTACATTTTTTGGGTATCCTTTTGTTGAACTGTCTGTTTCAAATTAATCGAAGCATCAGACAAAAAAAGCTTTTGAAAATAATATTATATTTTGGTTTAGGTCAAAATATAATATTTGTAAACCTGAAGAGTCAGTGCCAGTGCCTCACCAGCCATGAACCTCACTGCACGTCACTGCAGAAGCTTATATATAGACATCTAAGTTTTTTGTGCCCCACCACTTTTGTACATATAAAAACGCCACTGGACGGGGAGCCTTCTCTGGTCGAGCCTCCTGCTCCAAGTTCTGTAGCACTAGCTCCCACAGAGCCTTCTCTCCCGTCTCTCATTGATTCCCTCTCTCCTTTCCTGCTGAAAGATGGTGAGTGTACTCAGGGACGAGGAGTCATTTAACCAACCGCCAGTAGGAGTCAGGCTTTACTTTCTTTTATATCCATAAAGAAAAAGTAAATCTGTTTACAGTTCTGTTTCATATGGATGTTGAGAGGTATCCATATATCTCTTAATTTTGCTCTCAAAGTGCACCAGATTAATGCATTTAACTTCAATATTTTAAAAAAATCTTCCCGGGGGAGCATGCCCCCGGACCCCCCTAGAGGGTGTCAGGTCCACTGCCCACTTATAAATGTTGCACTTTACCACTGCACCCCCTCTAATCTCAGATGCACCCAGAGTCATTTTGTTTAAGTACAGTGAGCCTTTCTAAAATATACAGTAAAGAGACAAACCCACCAGCATTAGGATATACTATGACTTTGAGCCAAATACTTGTTTTTGGGCTGTATAAATAAATTGACTTGAAACAGTTGCTGATTTAGAGTACTGGCACCTTTTTTATTCCAATTCAAGCACTGAGTCAACCCTTCTAATCAGATCCCTGACTGAGGTAAATAGTGGTAAGTTGTTTTACAGTTCAAGCTTTAGCTTTATCTCTGTTTTAATAAATCCTTTATTGCTCGTGATTTTAATAAAACTGGGATTTGTAACATTCAAAACGTTTTTCTTATATTTGTAGAAATTCGTCATGCTGTCAGCAATCAATAAACCAAATGCTCCAACACAAAAAGGCAGAAATCTGAACCTATCATATCATACCAACTTGATTATTACAACAGCATCTATTGGAACTGCTTCTTTATATTTCTTCATCAAGAGACATTGAGCCTAACTGTTGTAGTCAGCCTCTCAGAATGTCAGCAATTTATCCCTCAATCTATTAGATTTACTAAAGCATATTTATAAGTTGGACTGTTTACAACATTTCACCATTTAATCATTTCCTTCTCTCTTAACTTCTCTAATGCTTAGTTTTTTATTTCTTATTGTTGTTATTGTAATGTTCTTTATTTTTATTGTGAGAAGCACTTTGTAATTGTATAAGTACTTTATGAATAGTTATACTAATAGTATTGTTATTATCATCATTACTATTATTTTCTAAGATTTTCTTTGTTGTCTTTTTTATGGCTGCAGGAAGGATCATGCCAGCCCACATCAAACAGTCACATTCAAACAATTACTAAATCAGCCTACTATCACCTTAAGAATATATCTAGGATTAAAAGACTAATGTCACAGCAGGATTTGGAAAAGCTTGTCCATGCTTTTATCTTCAGTAGACTCGACTACTGTAATGGTATCTTCACAGGTCTCACAAAAAAATCTATTAGAAAGCTGCAGCTGATTCAGAACGCCGCTGCTCGAGTCCTCACTAACACTAAGAAAGTGGATCACATCACTCCTGTTCTGAAGTCTTTACACTGGCTTCCTGTATGTCAAATAATTGATTTCAAAATACTGCTGCTGGTTTATAAAGCATTGAATGGTTTGGGCCCAAAATACATTTCTGATCTACTGCTACATTATGAACCATCCAGAACTCTCAGGTCTTCTGGGACTGGTCAGCTTTCTGTCCCCAGAGTCAGAACTAAACATGGAGAAGCAGCGTTCAGTTATTATGCTCCAAATATCTGGAACAAACTCCCAGAAATCTGCTTGTCCGCTGCAACTCTTACTACTTTTAAAACCTGTTAAACCCCAAGGACCCTCCGAAGGGTCCGAAAATGCTACATCTGCTAGCACCAGTGTGATCTCTGAAGTGTCATTTATGAAACTATTAATGTTCCACACCCAGCTGACGGGAAGAAACTCAGCTAACTGACTATACGAAAAAAAAAAAAAGAAAAAAAAAATAATAATTCCCACAAGAAGCCTTTCAATGAGCCCTTAGCAAATACGGACTAATGCTATTTCTGCTCATAACTCACAAAAATTATCATTTATAATTATACTTTCTGCACAAACAACACATCATCTGAAAGCTGAGATTCCACAGATTCCATTGGCATAGGTCTCATCACTGCACGGCCAGAACTCACTGAGCTAGCAGCCAGAACATAGCAAATAAACAACATCAGTTGTCAAATCCATGACAATAATTAGCAGGTTAAATTTTACAATAGTTTATTTTTATTTTTTTTTTATTTTTTTTTTATGGAATGAATAACTATAGTGATGATTCAATGTTATAAAATGATTTTTACAGTCTGGTACCTGAAAAAGGTCAAATGGCACTGATGGAACCAGATGTGCCCAAATGTGCCCAAAGCTTATTCTGCCTGGAAATGTTTTCCCTAAATATCTCTAAAAAGGTAAATTTTCACTTGTTTTGCCTCAATCTTGATACAGGGTACTTATTATATGTTATAATTTTGATTCCTAAAGCTTTTAGGCTACTAACCCATCATTCAAGGGTGGTTTTCACTATAAGTAATGGTTTTTTGTTAGGCGGAGGTAAGAATTTACACTTTTTTACTATGTTCCATCTGAATTCACTCTGACACAGAAACATCTATATTGATTCTGACACTTCTACATCCATCTCACAGATGTAACCTTGCTTTGAGAAAAAAGATGATTAATTTAACCCTTTTAGAAGTGAAGTTATAGTCATTTGTTCTGGGCATGTCATTTTCGAGCCTGAAACCTGAAAAACAGGCTTGGGGTCTAACAGGTTAAATCCAGGCTGAAGACTTTTCTTTTTGCCGCTACTTTGAATTGAACTATTCATATCTTAAACTGCACTGTAACTTTTATTCATGTATTTTTTCTTTTAATGTTTATTTTATTATCTTTGCTTTTTAATGACTGTTTTTAAATGCTATTTTCTTAATGTCTTTCCTTTTTGTAAAGCACTTTGAATTGCCTTGTGTTGAAAGGTGCTATATAAATAAACTTGCCTTGCCTTACATTAAACCTGCCTGATTATTGATTTACACACCAACAATTACAAAAAGAAAATGAGAGACACATGCATTTCTTAAAAGAGTTTGTATTCTGGTCATTGTTAGTTTCAGACAGAAATAATTTAGCAAACAGGAAATCTAACAGAATACAGTGTGCATGATTATATAAATAAATAGTGTGTATAAATAAGAAAATTAACAGTGCATTGCTATGACATACAAAGAATATGATTATAAAACAGTATGTATTTGATCTGAGTTGGAAAGTGTAACCCACAAGGAGCTGCATTTGTTACTTCCAAAACTAAAACATATAGCATTTAAATAACCTTCACTAAGAAAAATGATGCTAAAGGAAAGTGCTTACTGGAGCAAGATTAATTATTATTAGTGCAATTATTGCCTTACATCCCAATGTTATGTTGTTACACCGGAGTCATTTCTCAAATGAGTGGCACGACGGCCATTGGCTGGACAGTAGCCATGACAACAGTACTAGGAAGGATGCAGTGATCGGACTGATGTCATGGCTCACTCCACTTGAATCTGAAAGGAGAAGAACGAAACAAACTTTAGTTAAACAAGTGTGCATCTTTTGACTGCACTGTTGATTAACTCAGTTTGACTTACAAATGCCATTCAGGTTGAGGAAGCTGCCTTCAATGTCGAAGCCGATGATGCTTGCAGCTGCGCTCATTAAGACCTGCGCTATCTGATCGTTATTAGGAACAGATGTGCTTGAAAAGCTGAGGTCCATGTTGTTGACGATCGATCCATTACTGCAGAAGAAAAAATCGTTAATGTTTGAAATATCAGATTTAGGCCACTATTCATTAACTGTCACTCGATATGTCATAAAACAATGTACCTGAATGATTTCACTTCCAAGAACTTGAATGAAGGGAATTCCCTTTTAAAAACAGGTGTAAGCTGCAGAAACAGGAAACAGTTTGTAAACAGAGGAAAATACAAAGGTATACAACTTTTTACTTTACTCTCGACATTGAACTGTGAACATATGAGAGCATTTATTTGTCGTCATATACATCTCTGTCAACAATTCATTCTGGAAATGTAAGTACGAAAATATATTATATATTGACTGTTTTGTGAGTTTTTATTTATTGTATTCTTTGAGTGTGACAGTGTGTACTTGAGCTGTCCTTATTCAATATTCAGAGATCATTCTTAGAGTGAGACGTACCTGTTCTTTAATTTTCGCTGCCCGATTTATATAAACTGTAGATGATGGATTCAGCAAGTCACTTGTAAAGTCGGTGAGAAGGGAACTGAATATCACCCTTTTTATAACGAGTGCTTTAGTTATGGGTGCAGCAGTAGTAGTAGTAGTAGTCGCAGCTGCAACAGTGTTAGGTGCAGCAGGTCTAGGTGTGGGAGCTGTAGTTGGATCTGTCACTGGACTGTCTGTAAAACAAAAATCGGTTTAGCAGAGTCATATAATCTAGTTTTGAACTAGCTAATTTGAAAAACCAGTGCAGTTAATAACAATTCCTTTAATATTATTATTTTGGTTTTAAATACAAGGTAGTTAAGATAATTGATTATCATGCTTGGATGTTGTCTTCAATAATCTGTACCTTCATTTAGTTTCAAAGTAGAATCATTTAGGTGATTTATTTATAAACAGAGCATAAGAAGCTCATGTTTTCTATATTTTTTTTGCGATCTCACAATGACTAAATATTGTGTTGTGGATACTTACCTAATATCATGACTGAGGTGGGATTTATGCTCAAGTTGAAGGCATTGTCGGAATTACTGACAGCTTGTACGAATTCTTTAATAACAGCAGAATTCATTGGGAGATCTGCATAAGAAGTATTCCCATGGAACACAGCTTCAAAAGTCGCCCGAGTTTCAGGAACTCGTGTTACATTTGAGGCACTGTATCAGAAACAAAATGAGGAAAGTAATATGAGATTATAATATTGTCTTTTGATATGTATGATTAACTACCAATATTAGAAGATACACATGTTGAACTCTATATTAATAAATAGTCAGAGAAGAACTGAAATCACAAATATTTATTTACCGGAATTCTTTCAAAAGGCAGTGGGAAAAGGTTTTGGGATATTTTGTTCTGTATATTTCACCACACTGCAAAAAGAAACAACATTGAAGGATTAGCTTTCAAGCACAGTTTTCTAGAAGGCAATTATGAAGATATGCAACATTAAAAGGCCATGATTAGCTTTCATTGACACCTTAAACTTTCCATCTGATTGTTCATTCACGTTCAAACCAATTCATTTTACAATTGTGTGATTTGAAAATGCACTCACTGCATTTAAAATTCTTTTTTCAAGTGCTTTGTATTCCTTGCTGCTGGTGTTAGTGAGGGCAGGGGAAAAAGCTTCTCCTATCAATTGTATGTCTAGAACATAATTATGATCCGGGGCTGCTGTGTTTGTTGCTGCTACAGCTGGTGTGGTTGCTGGTGCATCAGTTGTAATCGGATCTTCAACTGGACTGTCTGTAAAACAAAAATTGGTTTAGCAGAGTCATATCATCTAATTTTGAAGTAGCTGATTTGAAAAAGCAGTGCAGTTAATAACAATTCCATTATTATTTTTAAATACAAGGTAGTTAAGCGAATTGATTATCATGCTTGGATGTTGTATTCAATAATCTTTAGCTTCATTTAGTTTCAAAGTAGAATCATTTAGGTGATTTATTTATAAACAGAGCATAAGAACCTCATGTTTTCTATATGTTTTACGATCTGAAAATGACTAAATATTGTGTTGTGGATACTTACCTAATATCATGACTGAGGTGGGATTTATGCTCAAGTTGAAGGCATTGTTGGAATTATTGACAGCTAGTACGAATTCTTTAATAACAGCAGAATTCATTGGGAGGTCTGCATAAGAAGTATTCCCATGGAACACAGCTTCAAAAGTCGCCCGAGTTTCAGTAACTCGTGTTACATTTGAGGCACTGTATCAGAAACAAAATGAGGAAAGTAATATGAGATTATAATATTGTCTTTTGATATGTATGATTAACTACCAATATTAGAAGATACACATGTTGAACTCTATATTAATAAATAGTCAGAGAAGAACTCAAATCACAAATATTTATTTACCGGAATTCTTTCAAAAGGCAGTGGGAAAATGTTTTGGGATATGTTTTTCTGTATATTTCACCACACTGCAAAAAGAAACAACATTGAAGGATTAGCTTTCAAGCACAGTTTTCTAAAAGGCAATTATGAAGATATGCAACATTAAAAGGCCATGATTAGCTTTCATTGACATCTTAAACTTTCCATCCGATTGTTCATTCACGTTCAAACCAATTCATTTACATTTGTGCGATTTGAAAATGCACTCACCGCATTTAAAATTCTTTTTTCAAGTGCTTTGTATTCCTTGCTGCTGGTGTTAGTGAGGGCAGGGGAAAAAGGTTCTCCTATCAATTGTATGTCTAGAACATAACTATGATCCGGGGCTGCTGTGTTTGTTGCTGCTGCAGTTGGTGTGGTTGCTGGTGCATCAGTTGTAATTATATATGGCACTGGACTTGCTGTAAAACAAATATATTAACAATATGTGAATACATTTTAGTGCAAATACTCAAAGGATATATTTATCCTTGTATGATGTAAAATGTACTTTGGTTACAGTTTCACAGACCAATAAGAACCATAATAAAAGGATTTCAAAAAGTAGTCTTTGCAAACATTCTATTATCTTATCTAGTGAATGATCAGTAACGATATATATCAGTAAATAAGAGATTATTCACTTAAAAAGCTTTCTTACTGAATATAAAATAGTTTGGAGAAAAGCTTGTCATGCATGGATAGGACTGTACAACACTGAATATTGTTGAGGTTTTCAGTATGAGTTCAGTTACTGACTTATTTATGAACTGAGCTTGAGCGGCACATTCTATTCCAAATGTATTTCAAATGATGATGGTACAATAATTTGTTATGTTTACTTACCTAATACTTTGACTGAAGCGGGATTAATGCTCAGGATAGGAATATTGGTGGAATTACTCAGAGCTTCTACTAAGGTTTGAGCAACAACATCATTCTGTGGGAGCTCTGCAATGGCAGTAGTCCCATGGAACACAACCCCCACAGTTGCTTGAGTTTCGTTGTCTTTTGGTGGATTTAAGGCACTGTATCATAGAAAAGAGAGGAATAAGTGTTATACTATGACATGAGATGATCCTGTTTCTTTTTTAAATAGGTGGTTATGATTCCATCTCGATTGGAAGTTACCAATGTTAAGTTCTCAACCCTTCATATAGAATTCAATCAGAGAAGCACACTTTGATTTTTCATTTACCTGAAGTTTTTCAAAATGCAGTGGGAAAACGTGTTTGGAAACATGCTTCTGTATTCATTGTTACACTGTGAAAAGAAAGCAACATTCAAAGACCATAAGTACATTTCAAGCACACTTTTCCCTAAATGAAATAACACCAGGTCAACTGAATTTATCTTTGTATTTAAACAAAGGTATTCTTTGGGCAAACACATTCTGTTCAATCACCTCTTCACATTGCTTCTGCAATCAATAACAGATGTTTATTTTGAAAATGCTCTCACCGCATTTAGAGCTGCTGTTTCAAGTGCTTTGTATTCATCGCTGTTGGAGTCAGTGAGGGCAGGTGAAAAAGCCACTTCTTTAAATTCTGCTGAGAGAATATAAGTGGGTTCAGGGGCTGCAGGTGTTGTTGTTGCTGTGGATGGTGTGGTTGTAGGTGGAGCAGTCGTAATCGGATCTGGAACTGGACTTGCTGTGAAACAAATTCATATTTAAAAGGATATGTTAGTACTAACCAAATGTTAAATTCACTGATCAGAAAGGACGATTCATTGTGATGTGTTTACTTACCTAATACTTTGACTGAAGCAGGGTTAATGCTCAGATTAGAAATATTGGTGGAATTATTCAGAGCTTCTACTAAGGTTTGAGCAACAACATCATTCTGTGGGAGCTCTGCAATGGCAGTAGTCCCATGGAACACAATCCCTACAGTTGCTTGAGTTTCGTTGTCTTTTGGTGGATTTAAGGATCTGTATCATAGAAAAGAGAGGAATAAGTGTTATACTATGACATGAGATGATCCTGTTTCTTTTTTTAAATAGTTGGTTATGATTCCATCACGATTGGAAGTTACCAATGTTAAGTTCTCAACCCTTCATATAGAATTCAATCAGAGAAGCACACTTTGATTTTTCATTTACCTGAAGTTTTTCAAAATGCAGTGGGAAAACGTGTCTGGAAACATGCTTCTGTATTTATTGTTACACTGTGAAAAGAAAGCAACATTCAAAGACCATAAGTACATTTCAAGCACACTTTTCCCTAAATGAAATAACACCAGGTCAACTGAATTTATCTTTGTATTTAAACAAAGGTATTCTTTGGGCAAACACATTCTGTTCAATCACCTCTTCACATTGCTTCTGCAATCAATAACAGATGTTTATTTTGAAAATGCTCTCACCGCATTTAGAGCTGCTGTTTCAAGTGCTTTGTATTCATCGCTGTTGGAGTCAGTGAGGGCAGGTGAAAAAGCCACTTCTTTAAATTCTGCTGAGAGAATATAAGTGGGTTCATGGGCTGCAGGTGTTGTTGTTGCTGTGGATGGTGTGGTTGTAGGTGGAGCAGTCGTAATCGGATCTGGAACTGGACTTGCTGTGAAACAAATTCATATTTAAAAGGATATGTTAGTACTAACCAAATGTTAAATTCACTGATCAGAAAGGACGATTCATTGTGATGTGTTTACTTACCTAATACTTTGACTGAAGCAGGGTTAATGCTCAGATTAGGAATATTGGTGGAATTATTCAGAGCTTCTACTAAGGTTTGAGCAACAACATAATTCTGTGGGAGCTCTGCAATGGCAGTAGTCCCATGGAACACAATCCCCACAGTTGCTTGAGTTTCGTTGTCCTTTGGTGGATTTAAGGATCTGTATCATAGAAAAGAGAGGAAGAAGTGTTATATTATAATATTAGATGATCCTGTTTCTTTTTTAAATAGGTGGTTATGATTCCATCACGATTGGAAGTTACCAATGTTAAGTTCTCAACCCTTCATATAGAATTCAATCAGAGAAGCACACTTTGATTTTTCATTTACCTGAAGTTTTTCAAAATGCAGTGGGAAAACGTGTTTGGAAACATGCTTCTGTATTCATTGTTACACTGTGAAAAGAAAGCAACATTCAAAGACCATAAGTACATTTCAAGCACACTTTTCCCTAAATGAAATAACACCAGGTCAACTGAATTTATCTTTGTATTTAAACAAAGGTATTCTTTGGGCAAACACATTCTGTTCAATCACCTCTTCACATTGCTTCTGCAATCAATAACAGATGTTTATTTTGAAAATGCTCTCACCGCATTTAGAGCTGCTGTTTCAAGTGCTTTGTATTCATCGCTGTTGGAGTCAGTGAGGGCAGGTGAAAAAGCCACTTCTTTAAATTCTGCTGAGAGAATATAAGTGGGTTCAGGGGCTGCAGGTGTTGTTGTTGCTGTGGATGGTGTGGTTGTAGGTGGAGCAGTCGTAATCGGATCTGGAACTGGACTTGCTGTGAAACAAATTCATATTTAAAAGGATATGTTAGTACTAACCAAATGTTAAATTCACTGATCAGAAAGGACGATTCATTGTGATGTGTTTACTTACCTAATACTTTGACTGAAGCAGGGTTAATGCTCAGATTAGAAATATTGGTGGAATTATTCAGAGCTTCTACTAAGGTTTGAGCAACAACATCATTCTGTGGGAGCTCTGCAATGGCAGTAGTCCCATGGAACACAATCCCTACAGTTGCTTGAGTTTCGTTGTCTTTTGGTGGATTTAAGGATCTGTATCATAGAAAAGAGAGGAATAAGTGTTATACTATGACATGAGATGATCCTGTTTCTTTTTTTAAATAGTTGGTTATGATTCCATCACGATTGGAAGTTACCAATGTTAAGTTCTCAACCCTTCATATAGAATTCAATCAGAGAAGCACACTTTGATTTTTCATTTACCTGAAGTTTTTCAAAATGCAGTGGGAAAACGTGTCTGGAAACATGCTTCTGTATTCATTGTTACACTGTGAAAAGAAAGCAACATTCAAAGACCATAAGTACATTTCAAGCACACTTTTCCCTAAATGAAATAACACCAGGTCAACTGAATTTATCTTTGTATTTAAACAAAGGTATTCTTTGGGCAAACACATTCTGTCCAATCACCTCTTCACATTGCTTCAGCAATCAATAACAGATGTTTATTTTGAAAATGCTCTCACCGCATTTAGAGCTGCTGTTTCAAGTGCTTTGTATTCATCGCTGTTGGAGTCAGTGAGGGCAGGTGAAAAAGCCACTTCTTTAAATTCTGCTGAGAGAATATAAGTGGGTTCAGGGGCTGCAGGTGTTGTTGTTGCTGTGGATGGTGTGGTTGTAGGTGGAGCAGTCGTAATCGGATCTGGAACTGGACTTGCTGTGAAACAAATTCATATTTAAAAGGATATGTTAGTACTAACCAAATGTTAAATTCACTGATCAGAAAGGACGATTCATTGTGATGTGTTTACTTACCTAATACTTTGACTGAAGCAGGGTTAATGCTCAGATTAGGAATATTGGTGGAATTATTCAGAGCTTCTACTAAGGTTTGAGCAACAACATCATTCTGTGGGAGCTCTGCAATGGCAGTAGTCCCATGGAACACAATCCCCACAGTTGCTTGAGTTTCGTTGTCTTTTGGTGGATTTAAGGATCTGTATCATAGAAAAGAGAGGAAGAAGTGTTATACTATGACATGAGATGATCCTGTTTCTTTTTTTAAATAGTTGGTTATGATTCCATCACGATTGGAAGTTACCAATGTTAAGTTCTCAACCCTTCATATAGAATTCAATCAGAGAAGCACACTTTGATTTTTCATTTACCTGAAGTTTTTCAAAATGCAGTGGGAAAACGTGTTTGGAAACATGCTTCTGTATTCATTGTTACACTGTGAAAAGAAAGCAACATTCAAAGACCATAAGTACATTTCAAGCACACTTTTCCCTAAATGAAATAACACCAGGTCAACTGAATTTATCTTTGTATTTAAACAAAGGTATTCTTTGGGCAAACACATTCTGTCCAATCACCTCTTCACATTGCTTCTGCAATCAATAACAGATGTTTATTTTGAAAATGCTCTCACCGCATTTAGAGCTGCTGTTTCAAGTGCTTTGTATTCATCGCTGTTGGAGTCAGTGAGGGCAGGTGAAAAAGCCACTTCTTTAAATTCTGCTGAGAGAATATAAGTGGGTTCAGGGGCTGCAGGTGTTGTTGTTGCTGTGGATGGTGTGGTTGTAGGTGGAGCAGTCGTAATCGGATCTGGAACTGGACTTGCTGTGAAACAAATTCATATTTAAAAGGATATGTTAGTACTAACCAAATGTTAAATTCACTGATCAGAAAGGACGATTCATTGTGATGTGTTTACTTACCTAATACTTTGACTGAAGCAGGGTTAATGCTCAGATTAGGAATATTGGTGGAATTATTCAGAGCTTCTACTAAGGTTTGAGCAACAACATCATTCTGTGGGAGCTCTGCAATGGCAGTAGTCCCATGGAACACAATCCCCACAGTTGCTTGAGTTTCGTTGTCTTTTGGTGGATTTAAGGATCTGTATCATAGAAAAGAGAGGAAGAAGTGTTATACTATGACATGAGATGATCCTGTTTCTTTTTTTAAATAGTTGGTTATGATTCCATCACGATTGGAAGTTACCAATGTTAAGTTCTCAACCCTTCATATAGAATTCAATCAGAGAGGCACACTTTGATTTTTCATTTACCTGAAGTTTTTCAAAATGCAGTGGGAAAACGTGTTTGGAAACATGCTTCTGTATTCATTGTTACACTGTGAAAAGAAAGCAACATTCAAAGACCATAAGTACATTTCAAGCACACTTTTCCCTAAATGAAATAACACCAGGTCAACTGAATTTATCTTTGTATTTAAACAAAGGTATTCTTTGGGCAAACACATTCTGTTCAATCATCTTTTTCACATTGCTTCTACAATCAATAACAGATGTTTATTTTGAAAATGCTCTCACCGCATTTAGAGCTGCTGTTTCAAGTGCTTTGTATTCATCGCTGTTGGAGTCAGTGAGGGCAGGTGAAAAAGCCACTTCTTTAAATTCTGCTGAGAGAATATAAGTGGGTTCAGGGGCTGCAGGTGTTGTTGTTGCTGTGGATGGTGTGGTTGTAGGTGGAGCAGTTGTAATCGGATCTGGAACTGGACTTGCTGTGAAACAAATTCATATTTAAAAGGATATGTTAGTACTAACCAAATGTTAAATTCACTGATCAGAAAGGACGATTCATTGTGATGTGTTTACTTACCTAATACTTTGACTGAAGCAGGGTTAATGCTCAGATTAGGAATATTGGTGGAATTATTCAGAGCTTCTACTAAGGTTTGAGCAACAACATCATTATGTGGGAGATCTGCAATGGCAGTAGTCCCATGGAACACAATACCCACAGTTGCTTGAGTTTCGTTGTCTTTTGGTGGATTTAAGGTACTATATCATAGAAAAGAGAGGAAGAAGTGTTATATTATGACATGATATGATCCTGTTTCTTTTTTAAATAGGTGGTTATGATTCCATCTCGATTGGAAGTTACCAATGTTAAGTTCTCAACCCTTCATATAGAATTCAATCAGAGACGCACACTTTGATTTTTCATTTACCTGAAGTTTTTCAAAATGCAGTGGGAAAACGTGTTTGGAAACATGCTTCTGTATTCATTGTTACACTGTGAAAAGAAAGCAACATTCAAAGACCATAAGTACATTTCAAGCACATTTTTCCGTAAATGAAATTACAACAGGTCAACTGAATTTATCTTTGTATTTAAAAAAAAGTTATTCTTTGGGCAAACACATTCTGTTCAATCACCTCTTCACATTGCTTCTGCAATCAATAACAGATGTTTATTTTGAAAATGCTCTCACCGCATTTAGAGCTGCTGTTTCAAGTGCTTTGTATTCATCGCTGTTGGAGTCAGTGAGGGCAGGTGAAAAAGCCACTTCTTTAAATTCTGCTGAGAGAATATAAGTGGGTTCAGGGGCTGCAGGTGTTGTTGTTGCTGTGGATGGTGTGGTTGTAGGTGGAGCAGTCGTAATCGGATCTGGAACTGGACTTGCTGTGAAACAAATTCATATTTAAAAGGATATGTTAGTACTAACCAAATGTTAAATTCACTGATCAGAAAGGACGATTCATTGTGATGTGTTTACTTACCTAATACTTTGACTGAAGCAGGGTTAATGCTCAGATTAGGAATATTGGTGGAATTATTCAGAGCTTCTACTAAGGTTTGCGCAACAACATAATTCTGTGGGAGCTCTGCAATGGCAGTAGTCCCATGGAACACAATCCCCACAGTTGCTTGAGTTTCGTTGTCTTTTGGTGGATTTAAGGATCTGTATCATAGAAAAGAGAGGAAGAAGTGTTATACTATGACATGAGATGATCCTGTTTCTTTTTTTAAATAGTTGGTTATGATTCCATCATGATTGGAAGTTACCAATGTTAAGTTCTCAACCCTTCATATAGAATTCAATCAGAGAAGCACACTTTGATTTTTCATTTACCTGAAGTTTTTCAAAATGCAGTGGGAAAACGTGTTTGGAAACATGCTTCTGTATTCATTGTTACACTGTGAAAATAAAGCAACATTCAAAGACCATAAGTACATTTCAAGCACACTTTTCCCTAAATGAAATTACAACAGGTCAACTGAATTTATCTTTGTATTTAAAAAATATATATTCTTTGGGCAAACACATTCTGTTCAATCATCTTTTCACATTGCTTCTGCAATCAATAACAGATGTTTATTTTGAAAATGCTCTCACCGCATTTAGAGCTGCTGTTTCAAGTGCTTTGTATTCATCGCTGTTGGAGTCAGTGAGGGCAGGTGAAAAAGCCACTTCTTTAAATTCTGCTGAGAGAATATAAGTGGGTTCAGGGGCTGCAGGTGTTGTTGTTGCTGCGTATGGTGTGGTTGTAGGTGGAGTAGTTGTAATCGGATCTGGAACTGGACTTGCTGTGAAACAAATTCATATTTAAAAGGATATGTTAGTACTAACCAAATGTTAAATTCACTGATCAGAAAGGACGATTCATTGTGATGTGTTTACTTACCTAATACTTTCACTGAAGCAGGGTTAATGCTCAGATTAGGACTATTGGTGGAATTATTCAGAGCTTCTACTAAGGTTTGAGCAACAACATCATTCTGTGGGAGATCTGCGATGGCAGTAGTCCCATGGAACACAATCCCCACAGTTGCTTGAGCTTTGTTGTCTTGTGGTGGATTTAAGACACTGTATCATAGAAAAGAGAGGAAGAAGTGTTATATTATGAAATTATATGATCCTGTTGCTTTGTTAAATTGGTGGTTATGATTCCATCAAGATTGGAAGATACCAATGTTAAGTTATCAATCCTTCATGTAGAGTTCAATCAGAGAAGCACACTATGATTTTTCATTTACCTGAATTGTTTCAAAACGCAGTGGGAAAACATGTTCGGAAACTTGCTTCTGTATCTATTGTTACACTGCAAAAAGAAAGCAACATTCAAAGACCATAAGTACATTTCAAGCACATTTTTCCCTAAATGAAATTATAACAGTTCAACTGAATTGATCTTGTTATTTAAAAAAAAAGGTATTCTTTGGGCAAACACATTCTGTTCAATCATCTTTTTCAAATTGCTTATGCAATCAATAACAGATGTATGTTTTGGAAATGCTCTCACCGCATTTAGAGCTGATCTTTCAAGTGCTTTGTATTCATCGGTGTTGGAGTCGGTGAGGGCAGGTGAAAAAGCCACTTCTTTAAATTCTGATGAGAGAATATAAGTGGTTTCAGGGGCTGTAGGTTTTGTTGTTGCTGCGGATGGTGTAGTTGTAGGTGGCACCGTTGTTGGAGCAACAGTCGTAGATGTGGCTGTCGTAAGTACAGCTGTTGTAGCTGCTGCTGTCGTAGGTGCAGCAGAAGTTGTAGGTTGCATCGTTGTTGGAGCAGCAGTAGTTGGTGCTAATGTTGTTGGAGCAACAGTAGTAGATGCGGCTGTCATAGGTGATGCTGTTGTAGGTGCTGCTGTTGTAGTTGAAGCAGTAGTTGTAGGTTGCACCGTTGTTGGAGCAGCAGTTGTGGTAGGTGCTGCTGTCGTAGGTGCAGTTGTCGTAGGTGCAGCAGTAGTTGTAGGTTGCACCGTTGTTGGAGCAGCAGTAGTTATAGGTGCTGCTGTTGTTGTTGCATCTGTTATAGGTGTGATAGTAGTTGGTGCTGCTGTCGTTGGAACCGCAGTTGTAGGTGCTCCTGTTGTAGGATCAGCAGTTGTAGGTGTTACTGTTGTAGGTGCTAGTGTTGTTGGTACTGCAGAAGTAAGTGCTGCAGTTGTTGGTTGAGCTGTTGTAGAGGCGATAGTAGTTGGTGCTGCTGTCGCAGGAACATCAGTTGTAGGTGCTGCTGTTGTAGGTGCTGCAGTTGTAGGTGCTGCAGTCGTAGGTACTGCAGTTGTTGGTGCAGCCGTTGTAGGGGCTGCAGTTGTAGGTGCTCCTGTTGTAGTGGCAATAGTAGTTGTTGCTACTGTTGTAGGAGTAGCAGTTGTAGGTGCTGCTGTTGTAGCTGCTCCTGTTGTAGGTACTGCAGAAGTAAGTGCTGCAGTTGTTGGTGCAGCTGTTGTAGAGGCGATAGTAGTTGGTGCTGCTGTCGTAGGAACATCAGTTGTAGGTGCTACAGTCGTAGGTACTGCAGTTGTTGGTGCAGCAGTTGTAGGTGCTAGTGTTGTAGGTGCTACTGTTGTAGGAGCAGAAGTTGTTCGTGCTGCAGTTGTAGGAACCAGAGTTGTTGGTCCAGCTATAGTAGGGGCTACAGTTGTTGTTGCTACAGTCGTAGGTGCTGCAGTTGTAGGGGCTGCAGTTGTTGGTGCTCCTGTTGTAGAGGCGATAATAGTTGGTGCTGCTGTCGAAGGAACGTCAGTTGTAGTTGCTGCTGTTGTAGGTGCTGCAGTTGTAGGTGCAGAAGTTGTAGGTGCCGCAGAAGTCGGTGCTACAGTTGTTTGTGCAGCTGTTGTAGGGGCGATAGTAGTTGGTGCTGCTGTCGTAGGAACATCAGTTTTAGGTGCTGCTGTTGTAGGAACATTAGTTGTTGGAGCAGTGGTTGTAGGTGCTGCAGTTCTAGGTGATACAGTTGTTGGTGCAGCTGTTGTAGGTGCAATAGTAGTTGTTGTTAATGTTATAGGAGCAGAAATTGTAGGTGCTCCTGTTGTAGGTACCGCAGAAGTAAGTGCTGCAGTTGTTGGTGCAGCTGTTGTAAGGGCGATAGTAGTTGGTGCTGCTGTCGTAGGAACATCAGTTGTAGCTGCTGCTGTTGTCGGTGCTGCAGTTGTAGGACACGCAGTTGTTGGTGCAGTGGTTGTTGGTGAAGCTGTAGTAGGGCCCGTAGTTGTAGGTGCTAAAGTCGTAGGCACTGCAGTTGTTGGTTCAGCAGTTGTAGGTGCTACTGTTGTAGGAGTAGCAGTTGTAGGTGCTCCTGTTGTAGGTACTGCAGAAGTAGATGCTGCAGTTGTTGGTGCAGCTGTTGTAGGGGTGATAGTAGCTGTTGCTGCTGTCGTAGGAGTAGCAGTTGTAGGTGCAGCTTTTGTAGGTGCTCCTGTTGTAGGTACCGCAGAAGTAAGTGCTGCAGTTGTTGGTGCAGCTGTTGTAAGGGCTGTAGTAGGGGACGCAGTTGTAGGTGCTACAGTCGTAGGCACTGCAGTTGTTGGTGCAGCAGATGTAGGTGCTGCAGTTGTTTGTGCAGCTGTTGTAGGAACATTAGTTGTTGGAGCAGTGGTTGTAGATGCTGAAGTTGTAGGTGCTCCTGTTGTAGTTGCCGCATAAGTAGATGCTGCAGTTGTAGGTGATACAGTTGTTGGTGCAGCTGTTGTAAGGGCGATAGCAGTTGGTGCTACTGTTGTAGGAGCCAAAGTTGTAGGTGCTGCAGTTGTAGCTGCTGCTGTTGTAGGTGCTTCAGATGTATGGACCGCAGTTGTAGGTGCAGTGGTTGTTGGTGAAGCTGTAGTAGGTGCGATAGTAGTTGTTGCTACTGTTGTTGGAGCAGAAGTTGAATGTGCTGCAGTTTTAGGTGCTCCTGTTGTTGGTGCAGCAGTTGTAGGTGCTAGTGTT